TTTTGGGGAGGAACGCACAGGAACAGAGTTCCGGATGGCTCCCAAGTTGGCCACGCCTAGCAGGAACTCATTAGCATAACAGGCCACACCCCACAGCAGGAACTCGTTAGGATTGGCTACTTTAGGGGTGTGTGGCCTAACATGCAAAGGAGTTCCTGCTACAAAAAAGCCCTGGGTGTTGACAACAAACAAAATAAACAGAATAAGAAGCAAAAGGTGGGTGTGGCTGGATGACCACACTTCTGGCAACATGGGGGTGCGGCCTAATGTGCTAATGAGCCGTGCTGTCGGGGGTGTGGCCCAATATGCTAATGAGTTCCTGCTGTTGGGTGTGGCCTATTATGCTAATGAGTTCCTGCCGGCTTTTTCTACAAAACGAGCCCTGCCACAACTTTAATGCCAGTAGGTCACAAAGTGGAATTTTTGCACACAAGGCTCCACAGCTTAGAGGGAACATCGCTCCGGAGTGAAGGGCAGGGTATAAACCCAACCTCTTCTTCTCAATACGTTTAAAGGGAGCCCAAGAACTCCCAATTCTTTTCCCCCGTGGACATCCTTCTTTCGGTTTAATACACCCCTGTGCCTAGGAAGATACCCCCCCCCCCCCCTCTTTGCCCCCGGGGGGGGGGGGGGGGCGTGTGGGCGGGCGGACCCACGAGGTGGTGGTGGACACCGATCGTGGCGAGGGGTGGCGGGGGGGCTGATCCTCCGGCCCGCTTTTGCCCGTCTGCGCCCGCGCCGCGCTGCGTCTGGAGACGCCTCCAAGGTCCCCGCTGGCGCTCCGGAGCGGCGCTCCTCCTAAACGCGCTGTCCTGGGCGGGATTGGGCCCCCGAGGAAGACCGGGAGGATGACTCCGGAGGAGACCCGCTCGCGCCTGCGTGCGGCCCGCGGGGACGAGCGCGGGCTTGCTTCCGAGTAGACCCGCTTGCCCCTCCCCAGCGTCCCTGGAAGACGAGCAGGGGGCTTGCTTCCGAGCAGTGTTCCCTCTAAGCTGTGGAGTCTCGTGAGCAAAACTTCTACTTGGTGAGCTGCTGGCATTAAAGGTGTGAGCGAGCCATTTGGCTGCTGCATCAATCAGTTTGCTCTGGAGCCCTCCTTCCTGAGCTGAGACAAAAATGCGTGAGCTGGAGGCTAAAAAACGGTGAGCTGGCTCACACTAACACAGCTTAG